CCCTATCCTGCCGCCTGACCAGAGAGCTTCTCTGGCCAGGATGTCCCTAATTCAGTCAGGATGCCCAAAGTCCAGAGAATTTCTTTGCTCTTCTTCTGGACTGCCCTGCCGCTGCTTTGGTTTCTCTTTTCTTCTCTTGTGCGCTTTGATCTCATTGAAGAGTTCTTCACTACTCTTGAGAAGGTCATTCATGGCACACCGTCATAGTTCATCATCTATGACTGCCTCCCGTCTTTGAAGGACAAAAGAGCTATAGTCCTCATTTTTCGGAGTGTCGGCCAGCGTGCTGGGTCGCATACGCACCTAACCTCGTGAGGGTCCCCGAAACCTCAATCACCAGGGGGTGATTGGGTATCTGTTGAAAGACCCCTGCGCAAAATGAAGGAGTTCCCTTTGTTGTCCGCGAAGGCTACAGCACAGACCTCAGTCGTGCCCCCACTCCTATGGAGCCAAACCTCGCTGCTTCGCCCACTTGAAGAGGACTCCCAATGCCGCCATAATGGCAAAAGCTAACACCTCAAAGATCCCCGGCGCCCTTTTTAGGACCCATCTCGTCTGCTCTAGGCAAAAGGTCTGCCCCGGCTCCGGCTCCACCTGCTCCGACAGGCCCAACTTGCCTACCAGGGTTCCTCGTATGGCCTTCAAAAAGCCATCTTCCCGCATCGGGATGCAAGAATGCAGGACCTCCTCCACCATGGAACGATGCCTCCAAACACAAGAACCCCGGAGAACCGTGGCCCCCCATTACTGGTGGGCTCATAGGGTCCAACGCCATTTTCAGGTCCAGTGGCTCCTCCTCCGCTTTTCTCTTCTTTGAAGCCGAGGCCAAGGTTGAAGACAACCCCTCCGGTCCAGTGGCTCCTCCTCCGCTTTCCTCTTCTTTGAAGCCAAGGCCGAGGTTGAAGCCAACTCCTCACCCTCTTCTTTGAAGCCGAGGTTGAAGAAAACTCCTCACCCTCTTCTTTGAAGCCGAGGCCGAGGTTGAAGACAACTCCTCACCCCCCCCCTGACACTCTTGTAAGAAGGAGGTGAGGATAGCCTGTGAAGGCCACTGGCATAGATGCTGCGACCATGCGGTCTGAAAAACCCCCTGCTCTGTTCTAACCAGAGGGGCGCCCCCCTGATCGGCATGGCAAAGGGCCTACAGACCATCCAGCCTGGGCAAACTGTGGCAGCCCAGTGTGCGCGGCTGGGCGCCGTGGTGCGAAGAGCCTCATCAAGGAACCCGTTGGCCTGGGTGACATCGTACCAAACTGCTGCTGTGAGAAAACCACCGCTTGCATCCTTCCAACTTCAACAAAGTGTGAATTTGCTTGAATTGCCACATGGAAGCTGGCGTGTGTCCAGACATCCTGTCGCACGAACTCTTGCCTAGGCCTTCCGGCTGTCCCATGAGGCCTATTCTGCGCTGGCATGCAATTTGACGCTTCAGGGCCTCCAAGGAAAAATTGGCCTGATTCTCAAATTCTGCCTTGAAAAAGCGGTCTCCCTTGTTTCATGGGGACCCCCTTCAGGCGTGCGGAGCTCTTCAACGGGTACGGACCCAGATCACCTGCCCCCACTGCTCTTGAGAAGGTCGAACAGGGCGACGCAACCATGGCTTCGTAGTAGATGCCTTTGGCTATGAGCTGCAGCCATTTCTTCTGTACAGCTGGTATTTGGTATGGTGAAATCTGCTTTTCTGACATTCTGGGTGTCCAATTCTGTGATCTCCACCTGGACCCCCATTCGTAGTGCCAGCTTTCTCAGGAAGCCAGCTACTGATGTGCGCCTCTTCTTCCCTGTGAAAACGTAGCAAAGCTCTTCAACGGGTACGGACCCAGATCATTTGCCCCCACTGCTCTTGAGAAGGTCGAACAGGGTGGTGCAACAATGACTGCGTAGTGGATTCCTTGGGCAATGAGTTGCAGCCATTCCCTCTGTACAGCGGGTATGGTGAAACCTGTTTTTCTGTCGTTCTGGGTATCCAATGTGGTGAGCTCCACCTGGATGCCCATTCGTAGTGCCATCTTCCTCAGGAAGCCAGGTACTGATGTCTGCCTCTTCTCCTCGGAGAAAACGTAGAGGACTCGCAGAGTCCCTCATTCTGTGCCCGTCGTATCCGGGGCTGTGGCCTCTTTCCGATTCTTTGGATTGCATTCGAAGAGCGGGTGCTTCTCACTGAAGCATATCCCGCACACATGGCGGTATTTGCATTTGGCCGCCTTGCATGTCTCACCCGGTGTGTTGTACCTAAAGCAAATCAGATCACCCTCAGGCGTGTGGGTGGCACAGTGCGGGCTCCCTTTGCCTTTGCCCTTCTTCCCTTTGCCCTTTTCCTTGCCCTTCTCGCCTTTCTCTGGGGCCCTCCACTTGTCTGGTGGCTGCTCCCGCCACGGAGGCAATGGCCTCTTGGCGTAGAGGGCCAGCGGTGTTGTGAAATTCCGCTCTTTGACCGTGGCATCCTTCCATGCTATCTTCAGTGCCACTGTGTACGGCTTGCCTTCCATGTTGACGATCTTTACTGCCTGCTTCCGGATTGCCCTCTCATAGGCAATGACCAACTTCCAGGGTGGTGAGGCAAACGTTTGGCCTTCGGCATCCTTGGCACTGAGCCCATACACATAGTCCCCCAACAAATAATCTTTGTATTGCTCGATTGTTTCCTCCCAGGTGCCTTGAAGCTCGTGTCTGTTGGAATGTTTCAAAGAGATCATAACCATTGCATTCTTCAAAACCGACAATCTTCTGCGTAGTTCTTCGGCGTTCGCCGGTTCCTGCACCTTTGTAGATCCTCTCCTCATGGCCAAACGGCCCTTGGAGTCCCAAATGGGCACCACACAATCCGGCTCAATTTCTTCTTTCGACACGACTTCTGTGAGCTCCTCAGCCCGGTATTCGCCGCCCTCAATCTCGGCCAATTTCTTTTCAACATATTCTTTGGCGGGGTACACCTTGTCTTCCAAGTGCCCGTACCTCTTCTCCAGGGCTGACCGCATCGCCGCCCATTCCCCCGCCACCACTGGCCTTGACCATTGCAGCGAATCATACTCTGCGTCCACCTCCACTGCTCTCTGGCTCCTCGTCTTTGCATTACTGAACGCACACGAGATTGCGGCCACCTGCGCTCGTTCATCCAGGGCCCTCTCTGCATCAAGCTCCCAATGCTCCTTGAGCACTGTTGTAAGATCATCTCTGTCTTTCGCAAAATTCGACAGCTTCTCCAGGGTGGTCACTCCATGATGGAAAAAGAGCTTCTGGCTGTCTATGCTGACCTCATGCCTGGAAAACAAGTACTTTATGTCTGCGCCGGCCGCGTCTAGGGCTTTGTTGCCATCATCTTCCGTGAGCACCGTCCTAGGCATATCGCCCCGGATCTTGAGCCCACACCCTTCTGGACATACCAGCCAGATATGCAGCATGCGATGCTGCCATAAACACTGCTGTGTTTCTGGTGCATGCTATGCACTTGCCCCGTTCACATGCTATGTGAAAAGCAAGCCCTATGCGCTCAGTGAGGTGCGACCCCGCCTCGTCCGCCATGGGCTGCTCCCGTGCGCATGTTGCACTCCGCCCCCAAGCCTGAGCGGCGCGCTCGGCTTAGAGTCCCTTCGCTTTCCTCCCCAGGTGCGACCTGGGCACATGCGCCCTTGCTCTACCCGCCCCTGGTGCGAACAGAGGTATGCGAAAGCGCCCCTGGTGCGACCAGAGGAATGCGGACCCATCCGCCCCATTTTCTTCCTCCCCCAACAACCCTTTTAGTCGCTGAGGCTCAGCTCGTCGTGCGAGTCACTTGTGGCAGCTTGCACCGGAGTGTATACTCCTCGGGCTCGGGCAATGCTTTGTGGATCTCAGACCGCACAAAGAACCTTTTCTTTGCCATCCAACAGCCCTTCTCTCCTAGCCTGTGCAACGTGCCTCTCCCGGCATGCCTGTACACCACCACATAGTTGCCTTCTCTTTCTTCATCCAGGGTCTCCTTCACCTTTCTCTTCTTGGCATTCCTGGCTTCCCGCTCTTCAGTGTCCCCCTCACTCTCTGAGCCGCTGTAGATCGTGGTGGCCTCTTCTGACAAGGAAACCGCTGACGGCGGCATGCCCCTCGTTCCAATCTTTTCCTAACCACACTGTCTGCCATGTCCGCCACTGACTTCTCCGTGAGCCAAAGCTTCAGCTCTTCCAGAATTGACCCCTCGTCCAGGTCCTCGTAGGCCGTCTCGCCACGTAGGATTGCGACCAGCTTCTTCTGCATCTTCTTTACAATTGCGTTGTAGGTCCGGACATAGACGTCCGACCCCTCCGGGCACCACCTGCCAAGGTAATCCCTGTCGGACTTCTCAACGCCGAGGGCGGCCAAGCCACTGGGCAGTGTCGCCCTTTCGCTGTGCTCTGACCAAAACCTCTCCCATCCGGAGGGGATCAAATTGCCATCGTAGCCCTCCAGCATTGCCATGGTCCTCGAGCTCCCCGCGACCGCCTCAGCATAGGTGACATGCGACGTCCCATACCTGGTGCCATAGAAGCAGCCCTCAGGGAATGCGTACACTCTGTGCCTCGGCATCTGCAGTTTCACCAGCTCGAAGCCTATGGAGAGCCAATCACTATGCAGCACATAGGCATCCTTCGCAATGTAGATTGGCAACTCTCGTACTCACTTCCCCGCCCCTGAGGTTTTCGACTGGTGCATCATTCCCATAAGCTGCCCATCATAGAACCTCAATTCCGACATCTTCAAATGAGCTGCATCGTCAAACCTCATCGACGTCCAGAGCTTGAGGAGCTTGAACCAGGCGCAAACCCTGACCTCGCATGGAACCGCCCCATCCACGACCAGGGTCTCCATTCAAGCCACGAAACATCCTAGCCATCGCGGTGCCCTCTTGATCGGAGGTGCATTCACCTCCAGCTTCCTTGTTAGCTCCTTCATCACCATTTGAGGGAAGACCTGGTTCATCAGCTGCTCATCCTCCTCCACCCCGGCCGTCCTCTCAAACCAAGCCACCGCCGTGCTGACTGCCAGCGGTATGGAAGGCCCCATGCCTTCCTCCTCTCTGGCGTACATGTAGTCCACCAATACCACACTGCTCGGTCTATGCCCGGGCTTACCCAGTGACTCAGCCCACACCCTGAAGCGCTGCCATGATGCCAGGTACCGCCGAATCGTTGAAATGCGGTAACAGAGCTTCCTTCGCCCTCAGAGGGTTCCTGGACTTCTTGATCTCATCGAGGACCGGGGCCTTAAATCTTTCCAACTCATCGACCAGCTTGCAAAGGACCTTCTGGTCGACCTCATTCTCTGCCGCAATCCGTCCACTCTTCAACCGAACCGTCCTACCCAGTGTGCCTCTCTTAGGCAATCCTGGCAGGACGAGGGTGCTTACCTGTGTGCCCTCGCATCCAACACATTCTGCATGGACCTCGTGGAAGAAGACCCCGCCACTCTTTCATCTAGATCGGCCATCTGCACGGCCTCTCTCACCTGACCGGTGATGAAGACCACATGCCATGGCGCCCGCTCTATCCCTAGCCCATCAGCGAGTTGTCTCGCCAGCGAAGCCTCGGTCCCATGGCTTACGGCCAGTTTGGCCCCCACGAGACCCACCTCGCTCAGGAGGTTGAGCATTTTGGCGCTCGTTTCTGGATCGGGGGTGTACACATCCCCATCCATACCTCCAAAGCAACTTCGCCTAACCCTCGAGCCTACAAGCAGGATGTGTCAAAATCGGTCATGACACGTCATGAGTGAATTCCTTGTGAATTTCTACAAGCTTTGTGAAGCTTCCTTCGTGAGCTTTGTGAACTGTGAAGATGAAGATTCCTATGGGTTGACTAGATGCACATTGGTGCGATTGGTGCGGGTCTTAGGACACTATGCTTCGGGCAAGTGTAGCCTCAGCTTTTCTCAAACGAGTTTGGTGACACCAAGATTCCACCAACGACGGCCATGACTTGATGAGGACCAACTCCATCACAGTACCTCAAACAGATAGAGAGAGAGAGAGAGAACCCCCGCTAGGAAAGCATGTCTCCATGTCCATCAACCCACATGCACATAGTTGACAAGTTCGCACCAACTGAGTCAACACCCAAGCGAATTTAGACCACGAAACATCGGTGCATGGCTTCTTCAAACTCCTGGTGTTGAGGTGCACTGGCTTCTTCAAGTGCTTTAGTAGCGATGCCCTTTGCTCCTAGTAGCGATGCCCTTGTTCCTTGTAGTAAGGCCAGGAGCCCCTAGTAGCTTCTTGTTCCTAGTAGCGATGCCCTCGTTTCTAGAAGCTAATTTGTAACAGCTCTGAGTTTTATCATTTCTGTCTTGTCCACGGCAAGACAAAACGTTGCTGAACATCCAGGAGTACTGGATGTGGGCACAGTGAATCTAGTCACCTGTCTGTTGTTCCACATGCATCAAAGTTACACTCCATGGTAAGCTTGCACAGTCCAACGGCCGTTAGGGTGGATATTGCAACGGAAAGGGGCCAAGAGCGATGAGCACAGAGAGATGAAGAAGACCATGAAAAGAGTGCCCGCGGTCCTGCCGTGGTTGTGACTGTTTCACATGTAAAGTGCACCGGATCAGTATTGCTGCGTGTTGTTTGGGTAATCACAATCGACAAAATCCCTTGCGTCGCATGACCAACTTTGAGCCACTCTCTCTGATCCTCTCCTCGCCAAAAGGCTGATCTGCAGGCCTTTGCCGCCCTCACCCTTGGATCGTTTCCAGGCCAAGAAGAGGAAGTGGACACAGCTGGCGACGGCAAAGAGCAACAGTACCATCAAGGTTCCTCAGAGAAGACAATCCAAGGTTTCCTGAAACTGTCACACACAAGATCATATGTATATCCACATTCCCTACTATGTATCCCTATGTGATTCGATGAACCTCTTGTTCCGGCTCGTACTGGGTGGGTGACATCCACGCTCTACCCCACCACAAGGCACCCAGGAGGAAACAAGGCAGCAACTCATCACAGCTGCAGGCATCGCTCAAAAGTTGAATAAAAAGAGGCATCCGGCATCGCCCTTAGTAACTTAGTCCCTCTTTTGAATCTTGTGTCCGTCTTAGTCTTGGCCAATTCAACCAAGCAACTCGTGCTGAACTTCATGACAGGATCCATTGGGGCCACACATCCAATGGAAATCATGTCCAAGTCGAAGGCCATCAACTGCCGACCCGGACGCTACTAGGAGCGATAGCCTCCAAGCTAGTAGTGTCCTTGCTCCTAGTAGCGATGCCCTTTGTTCCAGCTTCTTGCTGCTAGCAGTAAGGCCAGGAGCCCCTAGTAGCGTCCTTGCTCCTATTATTTGGCAAAGACATGCTAAGACATTGCAACCTTATATATCATATCATCATATCCAATAGTGACGCAATGTTACAGGATATCATCTTTTGTCCAGCCGAACGTCTCACTGCGTAGGACATGGTAGGTGAGTTGAATTCTGTCATGTACTGTATACAAACAATGAGAATGGAATCGAGGGGCATCTTACTTAAAGTAGAGCCGCAAAAAACATCTATTCAGCGACAGTAGGAACATGATGTTGTGTTCTTGAGACAGAATCACATTCTTACATTTGATGCAACAATTTACATACATGTCATACGTGTCACAGTCGTCAATGACAAGTCGCTTGTAAACCCTGCCTCCATTGCCACCAAAATGCTGTTGAAGGGCTCACCCCAGTCGATCTTGAACTGCTGGATCACAGTGAGCTGCCTAGGTTCTCAGGACAGCTCGAAGGGTTGGTGAGTGCGACATTGTGAAGTTCAGTCAGCTTCTGACCTGAAAGCTTTGGCCAACCACTGAAAGTATGAGAAGCGAGAATTCCGCATTGGGTCGTTTGTGATTGTGGGAGAGCGTTCCTTCAGTCCTGATGTACTTGGTGCGCATGATCAAGGCAGGGGTCATCTTGATACGTCGCACTTGGAGGTATATCCATGCAATTTAATTATATAGGCGTACAGCCAAGGGTGTGGCATCGCTCTGTTGTGTCACTTTCTTCCATCAAAAATGCAAACTTTGCACAAAAGTTGGAGAACAAAACCATACAAAACCAAACACATCAATTTGCACAGTGCTGCAATGAGCATTGCAGATTGGTCCAGATGCTTTGGATCCCCTTCCCCGAGTTGAAACCTTTTGGACACAGAGTAGTGCGACCCAAAGAACTGCACAATTGTCACCATCTGGCCCATGCCCAAAGCAGCAATCAGCAGGCTGCCTCTTTAGTTGCGCGACGAAAACAATATTAGACTGCTGATTGATGCTGATTGCATTTCTCGCAATGACTAATCAATAGTCCGGCTGAATTGTTCAATACTTTGCACGACAATAATAGAACAATGTATGGGAAAAAAGGACACAAAGTATATCTCTTCTGTAAGGCTGTCTCCCCAGTGAGTCTGGTTGTCCCTTCTGCCTTTCATACTTAGTTTCAGAAAGATTCAGAAAGGCTCCCCCAGACACTTTGGCACTGTGCACTCAGCCGCATGCAGAATAGCGCAAGGACATACGCTGTCAATACTGAAGAAGAAAACAACAAAGAGAAAGGATGGCAAGGCAGGTAGGCTCCAACACGGAGGCCTCTGTTCCTTCCGTGATCTTAGGCCCGTCAGGCCTGGCTGCTTGCTCTTCTGCCCTTCATTCATGAGGACCTGAGACGTGTGGAATTGGCTTGTCAAGTGGAAATATGTGACAGACACAGATTAAAGGTGAGAAAGGTCACTGACATCTCAAAAATCTGGAAGTGGGTCATGACAGGTTCACGGGTTCACTTCTCTGTTCCAGGCTCAGCCCAGCTCAATAGAATCCTACTTGCTTTGCTTTCGTCCATCATGGGAATGCCATATGTTCGCTCGGTCTACAGTTCTGCCTGGACCTTGTCACCTTGTCCAGGGTGTGATGCCAAGTTGCAACGTACAAGACAGCAATGCCAATGCATCCTAGAATTCCCACGACAGTCACCTCACACGGTTGCGGGTCGTAGAGCTGGATAGTCGTATTGAAAAAGTCTACTGAGTCTACTGGAAACACTTATATATATATAGATGCAAATTTCACATTACCCCCGAAGCAACAAATAAAGCTTGCTTTTGCAAAAGGTCACCAGCGCATAGTCACCTCCACCACATGCAACGCAAACGCCGTCCTTGCCCCAGGTGCAAGAGGAACTCATGTTTAAATTCCTTTGTTGAATCGAGGAACAACAAAATGAATTACGGTATAATATATATATATTTATTTATGTTCATATTCATGTATATATATATATATTTGTATAAAATAAATTCCTTTCCAAGATCTGCTGTTCCATTTGCACACAATATATATATATATTTATGCGTAGCGCACGTATAATCAGACTATGCCTTACCAGTAGCATCCAATGAGTGGAAGGGGTTGGACTGTTTCCCTTTGGAGATGCGTCGGTGGTATTCGCAGAACAATACCTAGCATCGACTAGCTGCGGCAGAACAGGTGCGGTAGCATAAACTTATTGAGGTCTCAAAACATCGTGTCCTCCATCCTAGTAGCTTCTTGTTACTAGTAGCGATGCCAGGAGCCCCTAGTAACAGCGATGGCCTCCAACTTACTTGCGATGGCCTCCACCTAACAGCGTCCTTGCTCCTAGTAGCGATGGCCTCCACCTAGACCTAGCCCTAAGAAACATATATAATATATGGTATACGTAAATCTGCATTAGTCCGGAGGAGAAGTCGTCACAAATGGCATTGACGGCAGCTTCCCAGGTCCGACTCCCGCAACTGTCATCCCCAGCTCTGTCCCGCGCATGTAGGCCAGGGAGGCACGCACTGCAAGCAATGGTGGTGGTGTCCTGGATCTCCAGATCTCAAGAGACGGTGTGGGAGGGCAAACCCCAAAATGATGGGGAGAAGAATTCCAGCTAACAGCTAACAGCATCAATCACCATCCTTGAACAAAATCGCTGGGATCACACTCTGTCTCCTGGCAAATTCAGCCTTTACACGGATGTGTGCAAACTGGGCCATCTAAGCAAGATCTTCCGGTAAAAAATCATAAAGTAAAATGAAATAAAACATGTCGCCTTGTGCTTACATTGGTATTCGCTGCTCAGGGTTGGTTGCTTTCTCAAACGAAAACAAAATCTCTCTTCGATACTGCAAAGGTGCCTGCGGTGTCTGCTGCTTGGGACACATGCGACAATATCCTATTCAATAAAAATACATTGTGCTATCTACATATACACACCTATTCACCGGCAGCGTAGAAAAGCCTCGCAATTCGTGTTGCAAAGGCTCAGTGTGTCTATTAGGTCATGTGCCACATCCTGTTTGAGCTGGCTCCAATGATCGGGCTGATAATCTGATACAGCCGGATGCATTGTGGGCCAGAGTCTAGGGTCCAAACCAAAAAGTAATCTGACTAATTGGCCGCAATCTACAATAATATGTTCGCTGCGTGAACATATTGTCCACCCACTGCAAGTCTTTGTCGGTCCTAATACAAAATCATGTATATATATAATATATGTATAACTACATGTCATATCAATGTCTATCATCACATAACATACATATAGCATATATCACCAAACTCCTAGGAAGGATTGGAGATCATATTGAACATTACACAATATATATATATATATCGCTTTACGTTTGCACTCCTGTTTCCACCCGCGTCTCCACGTTTCCACCCAAAGCCGCAGTCCCGACCATCAGCGCAGACGCCAGGCTCTCCACCCGGGCAGCGAACTGTCTCCCCGTAGCAACGGTAAACCATGCCAGGCTCCTGTGTGAAGGTGTTATCAAAAAAAATACAATTCATGTCTTTTCAATATACCTCGAAAGCTCACGCACCAATCTTCAACAAAATTCTGTGTATGTGGATTTATTTATGTGTTTGTCGGTGTTCGCGGGCCATAGCATGACATTCATGATGAAGGACACAAGTTTCACTATAGTGTGTGTCAGTTATAGATACAGTATTGTCTAGTTCATGCCATATATAAGGGGCCGTCGGTCTCTTTTGATTCGTGCTATATAAGTCACAGCTTGAGTTCACATGTTTTGCTTTGCTTGATATTTTGGAAACATATTTATCGTTGTGCGATCAAAACGACAACTGCGCAGGCGAACGGATGCCTATTGTTTTGCCATGTGGTAGCAGTACCAAAAGGGAATCCCTAGGAGCCCCATAACACCCAAACCACATTCTGATGCAAGTTCAGCGCACCGTTGCGCGAGAGAAGAATCCAGGCTGCAGCAGCAATTTACCTGTGCTCGCAGCACATTCAAAACATTCTGAACGTCTGCGAAGTGCCATGGACAGAATTTATCCGTGGTTAGCCAACATTACTTGCCACGGTTCCATCTTAGGTGCGGCTGAATGATATCAAAGAACATGGGTGTGCCAGCGGCTCATGTGTCTGTCTGGTCGTCACAGTGCTGCTTCCAAGAAGAATAAGGAGGGTGTCCTATGTCATGATTCAATTCCCCAAACAGTGTGGTGACACCTCTAGATCTCTACAAGGTCTCTCTACACCTCTGGATCTCTGCACCTCTGAACTCTAGATCTGTCTGGACCGCAGGGAATTGTAAAAATTGTAGATATGTCTAGTCCTCAAACGCTAGATCTCTAGAAACTTAGAGGCTAGGCCTCTACATCTCCAGATCTTGCCCTCAGGCCTTTTGGCGTTTAGCTAGACCTCCAGACCTCACTCTCCCCCGTTAAACTAGATTTCTAGACCTCTAGAACTCCTCTGGTTTGGTTGGCCCCTAGATCTGTCTGGATCTCAGACTCTAGATGTTGTACAAAACCTAGGGGTTGATATCTCTGGATCTAGATCTCCAGATCTAGATCCAGATCTCTCTGGATGTGGATGTGTGTTTAGATCTTTCTAGACCTAGAACTGTAGACCTGTAGATTCGTGGATCTCAGGACCTGTCTGGATCTCAAGACCTCCAGACCGACTCCAGACCTGTAGATCTCTCTGGAGCCCAATACGTCTAGATCTCTAGACCTTCTGCTTCTACACCTCTTGACTTTGGACCTCTATACCTCAAAACACTGTTTGGGATCTCTTGCGGGGATATGCTTCTCTTCTTGAGAAACACGTGCGTGGACGTGTGGCTTATGATTGCAGGTGCAATCCACAAAGCCAAAGCAAGTCCTGGGATTGGAGGTGGAGTACAGCAACATGTGCCCAGAACTTAACCCTTCCCACAGCTTAGTACTTCGCCTTCAGGCCTTCGGGCGCAATTCTTTAGCAGCTTCAATGCCAGAAATACAGTGCCATACCAAAAAAAGGCAAGTCAGAATTGACGGCAGGATTTTGCGAGAAACCTTCGACAAGGCAAGCCTAAGTAGAGGCTGGAACACTCTAGACAGCAACAAACAAAACTCCAGTCGCTTGGAAGGACGTGCTGATAAAGTGCTGTGCTCTCCCCGCCAAAACCGCTTGAACCCCCAAAACTAGCTTGCCAACAAATCGGCGCCAGAATAGATTGAACACGCTATAAAAGGCTGTTGAACTGGCGAGGTGCTGGAACCCTCACAGATGGATCCCTCGATGCATTCTTGGCAAAGGCCATCCCACAAGAATGTACCTGAAAACTGCAGCATGGCGGAGATGACCAATGACGTGGAGGGCCTTTTGCAAATCCCACAAAGCTTGCTTTTTGTGGTGCGGCAACAAGGCTGCATGTCTGCCCATCCAAACACCAAGTGTCTGATTGCAAATGAAGGTAAGCCCAACGATGCTAGTCAGTAATAGTATCAGAATCGCTGAGACATGGGCCCTGAAGCTAGGAAGAGAAACTGCGACAAGCACGAAACCAATGTATATTGAGGCAGGAGTCCTGCAATGCAGCCACAATAAGATATGCTGTCTGCTCCTTGCACTTGAATCCAAGTCTCCTGCCGGTACCCCGGAAACAAGCAGTGCCAAGGGACAGCGGCAACAGGGATTTTAGAGTTTCATGTCTTGAGTCTTGACACATTCGGCATTCTGGATTGCAGCGATTGGGGGACAATCAGAAGTCAAGTGCAAAGGCTACCAAAACAAGCAACCCAAATGTCACACGACATGGCACGACGGAGCAATACTGAATTTGCATGAGATGCAGCATTATTTGGGTGTGTATATATATATAATATGTACAGTACAGTATTGTTATATAATGCAAAGTATCTCGAGCGCCGCTTCAAGGGTATTCGCTACAGTTGAAACTAGTGCTGCACTGCCAAGGTTCTTGCAAGAAGAAGTGATATGGAGGTGATCACCAAAAAACAAGATGGAGCCCACGAACCCGAATGCAAACACGTTCGAAAAGCTACATATGTCCAAATGACACTCTTGTAGGACACTCTTGTGGGACACTCTTGTAGGAAACTCTTGTGGGACACTCTTACGGGACACTCTTGTGGGACGCTCTTGTAGGACACTCTTGTGGGACACTGTTGCGGGACACTCTTGTGGGACACTCTTGTGGGACACTCTTGTGGGACACTCCTGTGGCTAACTCATTTGGGACACTCTTGTGGGACACTCTTGTGGGACACTCTTGCAGGACACTCTTGTGGGACACTCTTGTGGGACACTCTTGTGGGACACTCTTGTGGGACACTCTTGTGGGACACTCTTGTGGGACACTCTTGTGGGACACTCTTGTGGGACACTGTTGCGGGACACTCTTGCAGGACACTCTTAAGGGACACTCTTGTGGGACACTGTTGCGGGACACTGTTGCGCGACACTCTTGTGGGACACTCCTGTGGGACACTCATTTGGGACACTCTTGCGGGACACTCTTGTGGGACACTCTTGTGGGACACTCTTAAGGGACACTCTTGTGGGACACTCTTGTGGGACACGGTTGCGGGACACTCTTGTGGAACACTCTTGTCAGACACTCTTGTGGGACACTCGTGTCGCGACACGGTCTACCCACACACTAGAAGCAGTCACGCGAGCGTTTCGTACGAGACTTCCTCCAAAAGTCACGCTTCGAGGCTGCAAGACGAGCGTTTCTTGTGGGACACTCTTGTAGGACACTCTTGTGGGACACTGTTGCGGGACACTCTTGTGGGACACTCTTAAGGGACACTCTTGTGGGACACTCCTGTGGCTAACTCATTTGGGACACTCTTGTGGGACACTCTTGTGGGACACTCTTGTGAGACACTCTTGTGGGACACTCTTGTGGGACACTGTTATAGGACACTCTTGTAGGAAACTCTTGTGGGACACTCTTGTAAGACACTCTTGTGGGGCACTCTTATAGGACACTCTTGTGGGTCACTCTTGTAGGAAACTCTTGTGGGACACTCTTGTAGGACACTCTTGTGGGACACTCATATAGGCCACTGTTGTGGAAAACTCTTGTGGGACAATCTTGTAGGACACTCTTGTGGGTCACTCTTGTAGGAAACTCTTGTGGGGCACTGTTTCGGGACACTCTTGTACGACACTCTTGCGGGACACTCTTCTGGGACACTCTTGTGGGACACTCTTGTAGGACACTCTTGTAGGAAACTCTTGGGGGGGACTGTTTTGGGACTCTCTTGTAGGACACTCTTGCGGGACACTCTTGTAGGACACTCTTGTGGGCCACTCTTACGGGGCACTCTTGTGGGACACTCTTGTGGGACACTCTTGTGGGGCACTCTTGTGTGTCACTCTTATGGGACACTCTCTTGCGAGACACTCTTGTAGGACACTCTTGTGGGTCACTCTTACACGACACTCTTGAAGGACACTCTTTGTGGGACACTCTTAGAAGACACTCTTGTGGGTCACTCTTATGGGACACTCTTGTCGGACATTCTTGTGGGACAGTCTTGTGACACACTCTTGTAGGACACTCTTGTGGGTCACTCTTACCACTCTTGTGGGACACTCTTGTAGGACACTCTTGTAGGACACTCTTGTAGGACACTCTTGTGGGACACTCTTGTGTGACACTCTTGTAGGAAACTCTTGTGGGACACTCTTGTAGGACACTCTTGTGGGGCACTCTTATAGGACACTCTTGTGGGACACTCTTAAGGGACACTCTTGTGAGACACTCTTGTGGGACACGGTTGCGGGACACTCTTGTGGAACACTCTTGTGGGACACTCTTGTGGGACACTCGTGTCGCGACACGGTCTGCCCACACACTAGAAGCAGTCACGCGAGCGTTTCGTACGAGACTTCCTCCAAAAGTCACGCTTCGAGGCTGCAAGACGAGCGTTTCGTACGAGACTTCCTCCAAAAGTCACACGTCGAGTCTCCAAAACGAGCGTTTCGTACGAGACTTCCTCCAAAAGTCACGCTGCGAGGCTGCAAGACGAGCGTTTCGTACGAGACTTCCTCCAAAAGTCACGCGTCAAGTCTCAAAAACGAGCGTTTCGCACGAGACTTCCTCCAAAAGTCACACGTCAAGTCTCCAAAACGAGCGTTTCGTACGAGACTTCCTCCAAAAGTCCAGCGGAAACACCCATCGGAGCACACACATCACGCAGCCCTGCCTAGCAATTTCGCGATTCCAGCCCCTCCAAACGACACCCGCTCACACGCCAATCCCAATGTGACAGCGACATTCACCTCTACCATAACTCACGACCTCGCGATTCCCTGCGCCTGCCACGAATCTTTCCGCATCCACACGTCTAACGCGCACAAAGTACTGCGCCTGCCACGAAATGTCACCTCCGTCACACCTCCGTCACACCTCGCAACCTCACGATTTCCTGCGCCTGCCACGAAAATCGCACTTCCACACCTCAAAGTCAGCACAAAGTACTGTGCCTGCCACGAAAAGTGAGAATATCATCTCACATGAGCTTCAACAAAATTTGCACCACACCACACGTTTAGAATGATTTCGACCCGTTCTGAGCACACTCCCATCCACCAAAATCGCCATTTCAGCTGAGACTTGTCACAAAAACAGAGCTTCGAAGCCACACCCTGAAATGCAAATCCCAATGGCACGGCCACATCCAACACCCCAAAAACACGACTCTCCAAACGCTAATCCCAATGGAACTGCGCAGTAAACTGCGGATCTCTCAAACCACTGCGCCTGTGCAGCGAAATGCATCACGTTTCTTGCGCGACATGTCATTTTCATGCAAATCACAATGGAATAGCGTCGCAAACTGACACGTGACACATCCATGAAAAGTCACTTGTACAAGCTTCCCCCAATGGCAGCGCCTTAGCGTCCTACTGCGAACGGTTGCGAACGGTTGCGAACGGTTGCGAACGGTTGCGGACGGTTGCGGACGGTTGCGGACGGTTGCGAACATAGAAACAACGGATCGCGAACAAGACTCTACCCCCAGACCCCCAGAGTTAAACGAGAACCCTTCGCTACGCATTCGGGAATAAGGTGTGTCAATCAATTCAGAACGAGCCAAAGGAGGATCATGGTGCTCTGGGACCAGGTGTTGACTCCCAAATCACAAGATATGGACTAATCAATCATGACTGATCCTGCGGGATCCAAGAGTAAACATAAGCGATTGTGTTCTTTCGATCTTCCCAGTCCTCACCCTGAGCCACCACTGCTTGACTCGTTGTCCACTTGTCTTCCTGACCTGTTCCGGTACCACAAACCATACATTCCGACCTTGGAAGGCCGTGGCGATTCTTCCAGCACACCTAGTCGAATCTAGCAAACACCAACCTTGAAGACCGGTCTCGGTTTACAGGGGTCAATAGGGCCGATCTAAAGCAGCACTTTGCGCCCTGAATCCGGGATTCGTCTGATGCTTTGGACTGATATCAAGAAGCTCTGCAGTGTCAAGAGCACAGTCAGCCAAGCGACATGCCAGTATCATTGGCATACCTTGGGTAGTCACACTACAACAGAAGGCAGAGGACTCAGGAGCCGCAACAGAATAGCTTCCATCTGCCATCAGTTTCAGTATCTTAGTAGTTAATAGGATGAGCATTGCGGATAGTTGATGTTGGTCGTTGTCGAAGAAACATGCAAGTTGAAGTGTGCCAATGACAGCCCAGTGGCTCTCCCAATGGGCAAAGATGACAATTCACTGTGCCCATCTGTCAGCAGGCATGAGTCAAGTGGGATTTGGACATGCAAATCCTCAAAACTTGCAACAGCTCGGCAGCTGTCCACTGTCATCGACTGTCTGTCTTCAAGAGATCTGTTATGGAATCCATAGGAACAACTTGCCAACAACTGTGCCTCTCCAGCATATCTTCCCTTGTCGCAGAGCAAACAAACATCTTCACCTGGAAGCCTTAGGCGGTCAAGATGTGGAGGAAGGTGGACAGTGCAAGTTGCTGCCAACCAAATCTGTGTGGACAGTGCAAGTGCGTGGATTGAACTGCTAAGCGACGATTGGTACTCTCCAAGTCCACATGGTGTGCAAACCCTGGTGGCGCCCTGCTCCTTGGAGTAGTGGCCCACCGGACAAGTCTCACAGCCCACCTGGCGGCAGCATTTGCAGAAGTGCTTACCATAATTGGGTGTCTTCTCAGAGTAGCCCGTCACCAGCTGGAGACATAACCCCTTCTGGCATCGATGAGTTGTACGAGAAATTGTGTTGGAAGTTTGAGCGGGCTTCTCCCTGCACAATAAAGCTCACATTGAAGCTCAGCGACAGCAACAGCGCGATTGGTGATAAAGTTCATGTTCCTCAGTGAGATGTCGCCCACTGACTCGTTCAGGTGAGACATGGGGACAAGTAGAGAACTTTGGTGGAAGTCTATTGAGTATCAGCTTATAAGTTACTCTAAGTACAACCCAGAAATATGTAAGCAGATCTGCTAAAGCACGTTCCTCAACAACTTGACTTGAATTGTTCATGTTTCTAACCTGCACGCAACATCAGTGGCCACGAGTTCCTATGAACCGAATTCACGAGATGACTCACTATGGTCTCTTGGCAGCAACCTACTCATTGTCCATCATTGTTCTGTAAATTCTACTCTGTTCACTGCCAACGACAACGTGGTTCAATTCTGTTCACTGCCGACAGCAACCTGGGAAGATCTATATTCTGATGCATTATATATAATTCAAGCTAACCAAAACAGTTTTAACACGACATTCCACAGACCAAGCTGAAGCTGAAGCCAAAGCTCGAATCCACCAATCCTTTGCCAGACGTACAGGCTGTCTCGTTCGGCATCCAGGATTCCCACAAATTCCCATTCTCCTTCAACCACTCACCTGGCTGGGCAGGCTGGACAGTCCGCTGCGGGTCGGAGCCGACACCTCTTAAAGCTGTCAGTGAAGATGTCAAACTGACAAACTACAGTAAGGTACAATGGTACAATTCATATGTTGAAGTCACGTGTATGAAACTAATTTTTTGATGTCCATGAAGGCACTTCAATGCTCATGTCGTTCTGTTGGGACCTTTGTGGGTTATATACGACGATGTCGATGAAAAATAAGAAAGCTCCAGGTACAATTTCAAAGTGATGAACATGGGGGCGGAAAAAGGAGGTCAGGCTTTTGAACCAAGTCACATGCTGCGGCCCAGGGATCGTTGCCAAGCTGGACATACCTCTGAAGGCAGGAGATTTCAGGTGGAATTGCCCACCCTAGGATTTCCTATATATAATTGTCTTCATGCCCAGCAGCGGGACTTCGTATTACTTCCACCAAAGTTTCAAGGTTGGTTGTCAAAAGGTCTCAGAAAATCATGCACTTGATTGGCAGATTGACCCGCTGCAAAAACACAAATTGTCTGCACTGATGACCAAATCTGACTCCAGCTCTCTGCCACACTCCATGTCACCTGACCTGGCTAGAAAACATACAGTAAACGAATGCGCCAGTGAGATCGTATTCTCTCCTGAGCAAGAGCTTGGAGATGTCGTCTTTGAACAGGTTCATCTTTTCAGCCACATGAACCTGTCACAAGCACATCTTGTTTTGTTCCTTCAGCACTTCCAAATGGCCAGACAACCGACTTGCACCTTTGTGTTGCAAAAACCTCTTCTTATAAGCAACCAAGCGACTGGTTTGTCTGCGGCAGTCTCAATTCCTCCTGATGCCGTCAACAGAATTTGAGCCAGTCCCAGTCCCATCCATTGCCATTCTCTTGCTGTCTCGTAGAGGCTGCGTGTGGGATATTCAATCATAGATCATCATAGATCGGTTGCAGTGTATTTTGTATAATAGGGATCATGTCATGTGCCCACAAAGAACGAAACCAAGCTCTGCCATACTGTGATAAAAACATGCCAACACCTGAACTCTTCTGGCACCCCAATCCTAGCTTTCACCTGCCGTCCTGAAGCCCACTTCGTCAGAATTGTGTTGGCCTTCCTGAGCAGCCAAGACCAGTTTAGGCCATAGGTAGCACGTCTGGCTGTAGTTTGTCTTACTGTCAACTTAGCTGAAGGCAGGACGGTCCAACATTCATGCAACCCGAGAGAGTTACGTCAATGCCTTGATTGATATTTGATAGACCCAGGCCTGGCCCAACGGTTAAGCTGAAAGACCGCCAAGCCACATGGTACGATAGATCTGCTGCTTTTGCTCAGAAGGGCTGTAGTCTGGAAAGATCACAATTGACGGGCTGTCCAAGGCAAACATCGTATCAGGGAACCACCAGTAGATCAGGCCTGAGCGCACGGAACCGACCAATGGATCCAAGAGACTGAGAGCGATCGAAGGCATTTGGAGCTACTAGGAGCTACTAGTAGCGTCCTTGCTCCTAGTAGCGATGCCAGGAGCCCCTAGTAGCGATGCCCTTGCTCCTAGTAGCTTCTTGTTCCTAAAAGGAGTTAACCAAGAACTTTTGCCACAAACAAAGGCAAACTTCCTCAGGAAGCAATGCAGGAAGAGGTGATCGTGCGCCAGTTTGTACAGAGATTTGATCTGTGGAAGTGCTGGGGAACAGGCAGCCCGTGGGCCAAAGAAACTTCCACAACTTGGACTTCCGTTCACGACGTGGAGAACTGCAATTGCAATTGAACGTGCTGATTCTCCTTCAACGAACCATAGAAGTTTGCAAAAAAAGTGCTAGAAAATGCAAAAGCTGGCAAGGTAAGCCCATGGCTGTTCAATATTGCAAGATCCACATCATAAGCTGGAGTTGGGGGGGAGGTTGTGCAGAGCACCCATCAGCCGAGTAGCTTTGCAACTCACGGCCCAGGGGGGATGTAGTCGTCCACCGGTGTGATTCGAGCAGTGGCAAAAGCAACAGGCATATTGTGGAAGGTTGCTTGCTGAATCATCGGGATCAGGCCCCAGCCAGCCTGTGAAGCAGGAACATGGCATGCCCATTCACTGCTTCAATGCAATTCAAGAGTTTTAACCACTACTAAATCAGCAAGATTCAGCAAGAATATTAATTAGAATCAACCCTCCCAGCCCATATTTGACTTGCCGGACGGGTAGTAAAGACTGTCACTAAATATATCTGAATGTATAATATATATTGTATAAGTACAAAACATCTCATTACCAGGGTTAAGCCGCTTGCAAAAAAAACAGAAAGTAATCAAAGAGCTCCTAGTATACACCACGAGGCCACTGACCTTCATCGAGGAGAGTATCGCATACGATTCTGAGCTTGCGTACACTTAGGAAATGGGCACTCAGCCATAAATTGCAGATAAGGCTATAATGTCTCAAAGGCACACTACACTGGCCAGATGAAAGTTGCGCTTGTTGACGTTAAACTCATGACAACCCTATCCCCCTAGAATCCTACACCATGAGACAAGGAAAGGTGTGGGCGGTCACTTGTCACCCGGAAAGCCTTTTATTATTATAGACTTAAAACGGTGTGATAATTGACCACTGCCACGAAAATCAGACTTGTTAATTCGATCCGCCGCTGACCTCAGAGTGTTTTGTAAGAAGGCTAACAAGCGCAAACTTTTGTCTGCCTGAAGTAAGTCTTCGAGGATGAGATTGTTTCGATGGCAAACATGTTGTTGCAAAATCCAGCGGATTGTAGATTGTTGGAAAACTTTGAACACTGACGCATTGCATTCAAAGCCTAAATGAAGCAAGCTTGTACAGTTGATGGTATCATGATGCATCCTGTTTAAATGTGTGTATATATATATATATCATGCGTATCAAAGTGTTTGTCATAGTGGAGAAATCATGTACAGTACAATCTACGGAATGCAAATGCTTGCTTGAAGAGACTTGCTTGAAGATAGATATATAGATTATATATATATATATACATCAATGTATGTAATCAGCAAACAGCTGATAATTCTGATCCAGCTACTAGGTGACCGCTGCTGCGAGTTGGTTTGGGGGACTCCATGCCTGACTGGAGCACATCGAAACCCTTCCTCCCCCGTCGGTCCCGACCTGCGCAGTGGTGCACGGTATGCAATTGCCTGGATTGCTTCGGCAAGCTGGAGGCACCCACCACTTCTCCTGGCAGGGCTTGCGACAGACGCTCCCAGAGATTGGTTCAGTTCCATTCTTGCTATTGGTAGCGACGGACTTGTTATTACTAGTAGCGATGCACTTAGTAGCTGTTAGTAGCTTCTTGCTGCTACAAGTAGCAGTAATGCCCTTGTTCCATTTTGGAGTAATGTCATGTTGGAAGTGAACGTCCATATCCCAAAATGCGTTTCAGTTTTATGTCAGTTGCTGCTCTGTTGTTGAAGTCACAGCCCTTCTCTTCCTGTCACATGTTCGTAGGAGGTTGAGTCATGTCCACCAACGTTGCTGTCTGTGATTGACGGAGCGTTATTTCCACGCGGGTGATTGTTGATTATGCTTGTTGCTCTGCATCTTGGGTGGATTGCTAGTGCTGCTAGTGCTGCTGTTGCTGCCCTTGCTGGTCCTGCCTCTGCGACTGCTGCCACATTTGCCTGTTGTGGTTGTCCTGGTCGTTGTCGTTTCTGTTGCCAAAGGCAAAACAAGTGCCCAACACAATATTCACATGTTGGTACATGTTGTAAGAGTTCAACTTTGGGGCCCTGCCAATATGATGTCCTATGTGCTTGTTTGATCTTGCTGCAGTCAGCTAAAGTTGTATGAAATTGTGATGATACGCTGATACGCACAAGTGTTGTTTTTTCTTGGAGTCAAAAAACACAACCGTGGGGCTGCTGTCTTTATTTCTACCCCCTTGCAGAGACGAAGAAAAAAAATGTGAGTGTTGACGGGGCTGCAGGTATTGTTTTGTACCTCGTCTTGTTGTTGCTCTTGATATTGTTTGTTCTGATTTATTGCTGTTCTTGTTGTTGTCTTGGTCATCGGCATCATCCTTGTGGTTGTGGCAGCGAGTCTTCTTCACGCTGCTTTGTCATTGTTCCGTTTGCCGTGGGTTTCAGCTCTGCGGGGTCCAGTCTTGATCTTTCGGCCTTTATATGGTTGAAGTAGGTGTGTTTTTGTCGCAGTCTTTATCTGTCTGGCAAGTAGCCATGGGCTGACGTGTTGCCTGATGTGGCCTTTGCATGCTCGCCGCCCAAAGGCACACAAGGGCCAGGAGTTGATCCAGCGGGGTGAGCTGAACCCTTGGCATTAACGAGGACGATGTCGAGTCTGAGAACTCCGGATTCGAAGTCTACAACTCTACGATACTGTGACTCTACGTTACATTCGGTGCACTGCAAAAGCTGCAAGTAGCGCGTGATGTGACAGAGATCTAGAAATGGATGACAGCAGCGCTACTGGGAATCCCCTTTTGGCGTCACACAAAGCCCGTCAGTCCTGCAGCTCACATTTCAAGACCAGATTTCCACCCACCCACAGTCGTGACGCCATCATTGTCTCCAGTAGCAGCCAAATACTGTTCTGCAATCTCTGCAAAGCCAACCATGACGGACTCAGCCTCAACCAGTCGTACAATGCACCAGTGGTGAGACTTCATCCTCAAGAATATTCGTGTCTGATTTCTCATGCTGTAACTGTTTCAGTGTATGTTAGAACAGGATCTGTATGATATGCAAAACCATTCTATCGAGGTGCACAAGTTTGGAGACGTGAAAGATCAACGTCCGAGACCTTCGCAGTGTAGAGCCTTAGCTGAGCACCACTTAACCTTTAGGGTGGTCACCATGAGTCACCAGCTTAGCCGCAGCCTACAGGGAGAGCAGTTGATGCTACAAGGACCCAGATTGACCATCCCCAAGACCACTAAACCACTATGGCAAAGAGTGTGGGCATGGTTCTGTCTCCAGGAGCTCTGTGGGCATCCGATTTGATGCACCGAGTTATGTTTTTGTCAGGACACCGTGCACTGATCGTGCAAATCAACAGGTTTCCTGGGAACCCTTCAAAAGAAAATATATAAATAAAAGCTACCTCAATTGCATTCCTTTGATCAAATCCTTCACCTGTTCGTCAATGGATTTAAAGATCCATTCAAGCAAGTCTGGATCCATGACAGCTTCCCAGACACTGAGGGCTGAAGAAGTCAGCATTGTAGTTGCGGTAGAAGTCCAGTCCAAGGCCGCTCTGGTTCAAGGCGTTCTGCGCAGCGTAGAATCCAAAAAGATCTACGTCGCTTCATGTTCCACTTTGACACGAGTTTGTTAGTACTATAATACTATATACTAATTGTAAGCATGCCATGTTCAGCATCTAGAGGCTCTTGCAAGGGTCCCAAGATGAGCCAAGATCCCAAAGGCATTCGCATATACGAGTCATTTGTGTAGAATGAGGTTATAAGTTATAGTAAATTGTTAGATATTCGATCTGAAACCATGGAGCTCTGCTGGAATGAGTGTCAGTATTGACTCTGGAGTTGGTCCGGGCCTGCATCGAGCCTGCCAAAATGAACATGCCCTCGTTACCCACGTAGCCTTAGCCAAAAGTCCAAGGAAGCATCGGCTTCCTTGTTACGGAGACTTTGAGGGAGCTAGCGATTGAGTTGCGGAAAACAAATTGTAGAATTCTACCATCTATATTGTATGCATGAATGTATGACTTTCCAAACCTACAAGTGCTGCGTTAAACGTGTCCGCGTGAAGTCAAAGATCCCTTCCTAGGCACAGCACATCAGAGTAAAGGCGCCGCCGCCACATTGGCAAAAAGTCATGGGCGCTTTGGAAGAAGAATTCAGTGCACACAACAGAACGAAACCTGTAGGTGTTGGCACATGACGAAACGTGGGCACGCTTGCACATGTCAAGAAATGAACACCAACCTCCTAGGGTCCTGAAACATAGTCACAACCGCAGTTCCCAGAAGTACGATAGACTTGGCTCCACACCCCAGAAGCAAATCACAATGGGCACACGCATCCCAAGTCCACAAAACACAGCAAGACAGGTAATTATGCAAATAACATCCAACAACCCTGTCCAGAACCCAGACTGCATGGGCACACCATTTCTAAAGTCTAAACGACTTTACCCAAGCCCGTGCAACTGAACGACCGAGCTGCCTTTGCAGGACAAGTTCAGGAAATAGTTTCGGGGTGGCTTCGGAAAGTCCATTCCAAAGCCGGTGGACGCCTGTAATTTAATTGGGTTGATGCGCATAAACAGTTCGTAAGCTTGAGCTCGGCTCTTTCTCACAATTTAATCGCCTCAGCCTCAGCCCCTAGCTGGGCTGGACCTAATTCTGTGTTGTGGTCATGGTGTTTAGGATGTGGTAGCCCCCTGGTGAAACACTTCAAACATTCTCAGGTTGAAACCACTCATTTAGCACTGGGTGAAGTGCTCATCCATGCCAAGCATGAGAAGCTTGGCGATTCTAAAAAGGGGCTCAGTCTGCCGGTCTGTCTCTCTGTGATCCGTTTGATCCCAAGCAGCCGATGTCTCCAACATTCCTGCACAGGGTAGAGGCATACCGCTTGCAGAAACCACAGCAAATGCTCAATTTATATACTTGTATCAATCACCACTGCAAAGAGGAGAGCGCCCGGGAAAGGGAGGGTGTGGACAGCGTCCGGCTGTACAAGCGGTACAAGTACATTCGGATGGGTTTTCATCCTAACCGCGTGGGCTTTGTCGGACGTATGTCCAAAACAGCGCGTCTATGCGGTGTGGAAGAGCTTGCCGTGAGCTTGGGCTCAAAGCGGCTTTGTGCGTTCGGTACCAGAAGCTATAATCGAACTGCGAAGATGGAACCTCATGCCAGCAAAGGCACCAAGAGGCCTTTGAGATCATGGTCAGAAGTGGTTTCACGCGCGTGTATCTGGGTAACCTCTACTTCGCGAAATATTTTGTGTTGAAGCATGCGATTTTGGTGTGCATACTTTAGACTTGACCCAGAAAAAGAGGAAGGCGCACACACTTAGAGAAGGGACAGTGAGTAAAAATCAATCAGGGGAATGGCAGACTGACTGAGTTGCTTCCAAGGTCGATCTATCATTGTCTATCCATACATGGTGATACATCGTGTCTATCTGTACAGTATGCTTATTGTATACCTACTTCTCTATCTCTTATCCATATTCAGCTTTGTATTTACTGTATCTGCCTCTGTGGTTCATATCCATCCATCCTTCCATCCATCCGTCCGTGAGTCCGTCCGTCGTCCAGCACCTCTATCTATCGATCTATCTATCTATCCATCTATCTCTACTTATCCAGAATCTATTGGCCTGTTGTTGTGATGCAGAAAAGCCTGGCCTAGCCAGTGCTGAGGTCGCGAAGCTCTACCGTAAGTTCAAGCAAAGCGAAGGAAAGATGTAACTTAGGTATGTCTCATGACTGAAGGAGTGAAAGCCTCTACTCTGCTCTACTACTATGCTGACTATGCTTGTATAAAACCTCCAGCAGCCCAGTACCCAGCTCTGTTCCTTGGCACTTTATCGCCAAATTCCTTGAAGGCATCCGCCAGGTAGGCTTCATATCCTTGCCAACTCTCAAAACCTCAAGTTTCACAAGCTGCGTTGACCTATGCCCCAAACGCTAGGTAAGGGTCAGTCTGTGTTTTGGCCGTGGGTCTTTGGTTCTCTCAATCATCACGAAGCCTGGAGTCGCGAAGCTTTCCCGATGGCTCTGTTTGAAGAAATATGTTGATGTCAAACCATGTCAAATGCTTTTTTACATCGCCCAAGTTGTTCTCCGTAATCGTCTGATGCTGGTTGGGGTCCTTCGATCACTCCAAACAAGTAAGTGTCCTCATGTATTGGAAAGCTGTTTCAGATTGTTTCAGACTCTGCAATCACCATTGGCTAGGTGGCTGAAGTGCATGGTGCGCACACCACCGCAAGTTCCTGCAAACAGGTTGTGCAAACAGCGCTTCAATAAATGATGTTTTTGTAACCCAGTCACACTCAAACATGGCAAAGGTTCATGTCACTTTGTGTGCTCTGTCCTTCGATGATCTGAGGGGTGCCAGGAACATGGCTGCACCCGGCCAACTTGAAGGTGATCGGTCGAGAGGTGGCCGCACCATCCTTGGTAATGTTGTAGCCCAACTTCTCCTGCAACAAGCAGTCTCATTCAAACAGCCTGCGACTGGTGTCTACAGGTTCGAATACGAGGAATACAATGGCATACAAAGCATATCATGCCCATCTTTGGAGTGGAGTGGAACTCAAAAGGTCTACCGTTGAGATGGAGAGAGCAATCCACCAGCTCCTCGGTCAAAATCTCCCACAGGCTGGAGAAGAGCAAAGAACTGGCCCAATCATTCCTTAAAGCAACTGTGACCGCCGAAAGAATTGCTCCGGACACTGGTTTTTGATCATCTGAAAGCAACACATTCTCATGCGATGTACACAGAATTACTTACAGTAAACGTCAGGACGAGCATTGGAAAGCAGTAGGTTGGAGGCAATTTCAAGTAGGTTGGAGGCCATCTATCGACCCTGAACCATGGACAAAGAGCGGAGAGCTGGATGAAAACGGGTGCCCATCTGCTTGAAACATCGTTAGAATCACATTTGGAGGATGTCCGTCACCTGGGAATAATCTTCAATCCTGCTATTTTGCAGTGACAAGGAGGGGCCCAATCATCAAAATTGCTTTCCACTGTCTATTGTAATCTATCGTAGCCACAAATAGCACACATCATATTATCTTGTCCACGTGGTTGGCAATACTTGGTGGCTCAATGCGCTTGTTTGATTGTCTTTTTCCTCATTTGACTGTCGCCCGGCATTGTTGCTTGCAAGCTGAGTCGCGTCCAAAGCCCGATGGGCATTTCTTGACCGTCAAAGAAAATGGTCTTCCGGTTCGCTGGAGGGATGCCATCACTAAAGCATTGAGCTGACCTTGACTGACTGAGATAAACGTCGGACTCTGTGCAACTGGACAAAACTGTCTGCTCCGAAAACTATTCTGGGTGCACGTGAGGTCTTCGAAAATATCTGCAAACAGTTGGCTTAGGGAGGTGCCAGAAAAAGTATATATATATATATTCATATGTGCGATGCTCACCTTGTAAATATGGTTTAGGTGGAGGCCATCGCTACTAATACTAGTGTGCAGGCCATCGCTATCAGGGCAAAGAAATACATACAAACAGTCATACAGTTGCGCTGCACGACAAATTCAACCTCAGTCATGTGCTTCGATGCCCACGTCTTATTGCAGAAAGGAAGTCTAAGAAACCATGTATCACCATGGCTTAGTCGGTTTGGACGGCCGCACAAACGTGTGCCAACTTATCTCTTTGGGGGGCTCCTGAAAAGCCTCATCCGTCGAACCAAGTTTCCAAACAAATGAAACAGTGCTCCTTTCCCTCTGAGGAAGGTTTACTGTTGAACCTGCCATTCTGCATCTTCTCCTTCTTTGCTTCAAGGGAAATGGCCCATTTGAGGGGTCATCCTCTGCAAAGTCCGTAAACAGCAAGCATATCCTCCAATATCCTCCAATGTTGCTTCTCGTATTATGCATTGGTTCATTTCTCCCGATCAAAGTGTCTTGTGCACTGCTGAAGCTGCATTGACATAAGAACTTTGTGCAATGTGTTACACCAACCTGACCACCTCTGGGGATTACCAAGTAAACAGCAATGATACTGCTTCAAAGCACCTCGAAAGCCATGACAATTATATATATAATTGCTCTTCAGACTAGCTACAGGGCAGTTGTTGTCCATGCGGAGAGCAGCACAAAGTGCATCATGGCAGGCCACAATACGTTCGTCTGCGTTCTCTGTGTTTCTAGCAGGAACACAAAGTGTGCCACTGCTGCTAGAGCACAACTGCTGCACGCGGCACACTGGGGTCTGAGAGGAGCACCGCTGCACTACTACGTGCTCTTCTGGAGAGGGGCCAAGAATCAAAACCCAAACAACGAAGCGATCCGTGAAGATCCAGTGGAGCCGTGGAGCCTCCCATTCTTGGTGAATCAAGTTCGTTCCACTTGAGATCTAAGCGCATCATGGTCAAAACGGATGTTTATCTAGCTTATTATAGCTCAGAAATGTTCATCTTGACAAGTTGGTTCCAACCACCCTCTGTCCAGCAAACCCAGCCTCGCAACAAGAGCTCCTGACACGGGGTAGCTACAGAACTTACAAAACTCAATTCCACACATCATGGAAGCAGCAATGAACGACTTAGTTCATCAAATCTGCAACCGCAAGATCAATGACTTGACTGTGCGCAATGGCAATATCTGAAAAGCTAGCAAGCACTTTTCGCGGACAGTAGCAGCACGGTAAGCTTCTGAGGCAGCTGTTGAACCGATTGCTCACTCGAACTGCCGAAGGCGCTACTTCAAAAGCATCCCATCAGATGCAAGCCATCACTTCTGTTTGTCCTCCTTGTTCTCG